TAACTTATATAGTCACCTGTCTTTGAGCACTGAAAAAAAGAATTTGATGAAAAGGAATATATTACAGTATGGAATAAAGCAGTATAGAATAAAGACAGATCTTGTTGCACAGGGCATCATGTTTGCCAAATAGCCCCTTCATGCCTAAGGATAACACCTCTAAAACAGACTTCTTTGTTGTGCATTGCAGTTGCTGATCAGGAATAAATGGCTGCCTGCTCTTTGCACTCAGTCACCCAAGGACCTCGGAAGGCAAGAGAATGTAGAGACTGTGGTCAACGGGTCCAACATTTGCGGAGTCATTTCAGGTCAGCCTTACCAGTATGGCCTGTGATCTTCAGGGCAGAAAAGCCATGCCAAAACAATGCTTACAGAGGACTTTCTCTGAAGAATTGATGTGCTCCTGTTTTCCCTGTTTTGGGGGCTGTGTTGCTGCACTCGAGCCTTCAGAAGCCATGCAGCCTTGCTGTTGGAGAATCATCAGCTAAGGCACCAGGAAACAAGAGCGGGGGCTTTGTCTAGCAAAGGAAACCCCAGTGTTTCCTCTCATTAGGTGTAAACATGCCACTTGAAAGATGCTGTCAAATGCACCTGCTTGGGCTGATGACTTGCTGTGCTAAGAGATCTGAAGCTGTGCTGGGAAGCTGGAGCCTTAAATCTCTATTATGCTTTGTGATGCAAATGTAGGGGAAGAAGGTGAAACACCAACATGGAAGTTGCAGAATGGAACTTGTGCAGGAAGGAAAGATTGGGGCCTGAATTGCAGAGTGTGGAATTGTAATGAAAAGAGGAACCTCACAGGGGTCTGGGGGAATTGCACTGGGGATGATTCAGGAGATCTCCCAGAAATCTGTCTGGATAGCACTTAGTTACCAGCTGGGCTTAAAACACAACAGTGCACCCGCAGATAATTCTTCCAAGAGTCCAACTCCTATTTTTGCCTCAGTTTTCAACCCTCAGACACACTGTCCGCAGGAAAACTGGCTTCTGGAAATGACAGACAGAGACAAGAAGCCGAATAGCCCCCCTGTAATCCAGGAGGCAACAGTTAGCCACCTGCTGAGCCCCTTGCATCCTCGCAAGTCTACAGGACCAGATGGGATCCATCCCAGAGTGATGAGGGAGCTGGCGCAAGAGCTCGCCGAGCAACTCACCATCATTTCCCAACAGTCCTGGCTCCCTGGGGAGCTGCCAGATAATTGGAAGTTGGCAAATGTCACGCCAAGCCCCCGAAAGGGCTGCAAGGAGGACCTGGCAAAGTACAGGCCTGTCAGCCCGACCTCAGTGCCTGGCAAGGTTATGGAGCAAATCATTCCAAGTGCAATCCCACAGCACCTACAGGATGGACAAGGAATCAGAGCCAGCCAGCATGGCTTTAGGAAGGGCAGGTCCCGTCTGACCAATCTGATCTCCTTTGAGGATCAGGGGAATTGCCTGATGGATGAGGGCAAGGCTGTGCATGTGCTCTATCTGGACTTCAGCCAAGCCTTTGACACCTTCTATCACTGTTTCAGCCTTCTCCTGAAAAAGCTGGCAGCCCAACCAGACCTCTGTGGCTCACAGCTGTGCACAGGGAAGCTCCCAGGGAAGAGGAGGAAAATAGGACCAAAAGGCTTCTCTGAGCTGTCAGAGCACTGCAGCAGCATACGGATAAGAAGGGACAACCAATACTGCACAATTCAAGCAATTTGTCATCCCTCCAATTTCAAGGCAGAGCTGGGGCTTTCAGCAAGTGCATCAGTTCTCAAATGACACCCTCACCCCTACGGGGGAGCCCAAGATTTTCTCCAAGGCTTTGGCACTCTCTGCCTGTTTTCCCACTCCCTGTGTCCTGGATATTTACAGCAGAGAATCTCCAGAGCTACAAGAGCTGGACAAAAAGACCTGCTTAGCAGCAGTGGGACACCTCAGGGGAAGGAGTTGGAGAGCAGAAAGGCACATTCTTTACCCCGCAGTGTTCCCTGCTAAGCTGGACATTCATTGGATGGGCTGTGCCTTTGAATCAGATGGCAGCGATCATTTCACCAAATGTCATTGCCTTCCTAAGCACTACAAGTCCAGGATAAAGCTTCTAAAGGACACTGGGTTGTCCACCAGTAGAGGAGAGTCCCTTGATGTCTGCACTAAACCCCCAGGAAAAACAAGCTAAGCCCTAAATCCTTCCTCCAGGGAAGGCTAGAGCTCATTTCCAGGTGCTTTCAGTGCCCTTTCTTTTTTTCAGTGGTCATTCCTTTATTTTCTTGTTCAAGGTGGGTCCTGCTTTTAGCTCTAGATTTTGAGAGAGCCTCATTGCATCTTATTTTCATGGGCAGGT